TGTAGCTCCCCACCAATAGACTGGAGCGACCAGGAACTTGAAGCCAGCTAGGAGGGGGTGATCTTATCTCACCTCTACTAGCTGAGCAGCACCTGTTTTTTTTCCCCCTTTTTTGAAGTTTTTTCTCCATTTGTTTATGTTTTTTTTTCATCTAAACGAAGAATGCCTGCTGAACGCCCCTTGGCTCCAGGCTTGGCCGGGATCGGGATACCGGTCGGCCCAGCCTCGGACTTGATAGCTGGGCGAGGTACTGGTGGTTCAATAAAATAAAGGGAGAACTACGGCGCAGTCCAGGTTTTCAGTTTTAACTTTTAACTTTTAACTTTTAAATGCTTTTCAGTCACCTTTTCTCGAATTTTACTCCAAAGCGAGGAAAATAGTGAATGTATCCAATGCATCTTTAAGGTTGGGTGGTGATGTTTTGAATTCGAGGGATGCCTGAAGTGGATTTAGAACTGAAAACGTGACTGCGTTATAGTTAACCCTACGGGCTGCGATAGGGAGAATTGTTGAAATGGAGGTAGGTGGGGTCTCGTGAGGGGTAGGACCCCCCAGAAAAAAAGGAATTGGAACGTGACAGAAATCCAAAGAAGGGATTTGCCATCGAAGACTTCGCAAACTGGTGGCTGGGTGGGACCTGTGGGGTTTATGAGGCATGCATAGTGTTTTTTTTTTTTTTTTTTTTTTTTTTTTTTTTAAGGCATGCATAGTGTTGCCACTGCTGTCTGGTCCAAGTTGCCCACGATATTGGTTTAGGGTGATGGTCCTGAGTGTTGGTCACACGGAAGTAGGATAGTAGGGACAGGGGGGTTGCGCTAGGGGTATTAACGTGGGGATGGGTAGGGAAGGTGGCCTATCCCGTCAGGAAAACCATTGGCTACCACTGCCAGCAATCACCGCAGGTCTGGTCCGTGGCCTGTACAACACCCTGGCCTTTTTTTCGAAAAAAAAGGCAAAAAAAAAACAACAACAACAAAAAAAACAGCCCCCAAAAAGACTCTGCCAAATGGGAAAGCACATGGAGTGCTCCAGGAGTGGAGAATCCAAGGTAGGGCCAATCAAATGCTGAAAGAGCTACATGTTCCTTTTCCCTTGCTGTTTCCAAAAATTCTGTTTCCAAAAATTGGGGGAGGGGACCTGAGGGGAGGCACAGGGATTGGTCCTGTTGGCATGGTCCCTGATGCTACCGGCTGTCCCCTAGCCGGTATTGCCCACCTGCAGGTCGGGAGCAGCCCCCGCATGTTCTCTCGTGAACACGGTTGTGGCTGCTGTGGCAGCTACGGGGTTCCCCGTATGCCTACAATTAGTAGTAGTGGTAGGCAGGTAGTGTGAGGTGAAATTGAGAGAAGAATATAGCTTTAAAAAAAAAAAAAAAAAAAAAAAAAAATTGGGGGAAAAAAAAGAGAAGGGACACCTCGTGCAGTCCCCTTTGACTTCTCAGGCCCATAGTGTTTTCGTTTTTTCAATTTGACCCTGTGGCTGTCACTAGAGAACTCCACCCACCCACCCACTCACCCACTCACCCACCCACAACTCGTGCATTCCCCTTTGACTTGCCCCCTGCGCCCCTGCGCTCCCTACAGCGCTCCTTTGTGCGGCC